TGCTAGTAAAATATATGTGATACATTTAAAAAGGAATTTAAATTAATAATATTTTAAAAAAATATATGTAAATGAATTGGACTTCTTTAAAAAGAAAAAATACGTGTGTATGTAATTATGTTTATGTACGCACGTAAGAAGTTATATATTATTATTTTACGTAAGAAGTTATATATATTAGTTTTATTTTTTTCTCCACTCATATAAAATACGTGTTATAGATTTATGAATATTTAAGAGAAACTACTTTGAATATAAGTAGTTATGACTTTTCGCGAGAACCGAGGAGACAGTATCAACTAACTTTAACGTGTCGCTTTTTGACTGTGGATGTGCGCGCGCATCGTAAAAATTCTACTCTCATATTTTTTTCCAAACGTGCCAATAGAAGTACCTATAACTTCAAAAATTATCAAATTAAAAAAGTTTTTATAAATATATTAAATTAATTGTAATACAATTGTCGTATTAGTATCTGGCTGTAATATATTACTTTTACAAAGTTCAAGAAAACGAAAAGTTAAGAATGAGTTTTATAAAGATTATTAAAAATAGACTAATTTGTAGTTTGATGCATATTGTACTAGCAGAACCTGTAGCTTCGCTCGCGCTAAAATTATAAAAATCTCTAAAAAGAGGTTTTATACAAATTTTCATGTACTTACTATTTTACCCCCTTATGGGATTAATTTCGATAAATGCTACAACACGTATTTATTTAATTGTATTGAAGAGTATTAATATCCAGTTTCAAGTAATTCTGATCATAAATAATATTTTGGGTGGTATTATAATGTGTTTTCCCGTGGAAATGAGATAATTTCCCGCGGTAGCCTATGTCACTCTCGAGCCTTCCAACTATCTCCACACGAAAAATCACGCCAATACGTCATTCCGTTTGACGTAAAAAAAGGATAAACAAACACACTTTCATATTTATAATATTAAGTATGGATAGTTTGTATGTATATTATATGTTTGTTTAAGTTACTTAACAATAAAATACACTTACCTACGTATACATGTCTCGCCAGAGAGAACAATGTTCTTATACATAATTAATAAAATAGTTACTTTTTGTGAGCAAAATATAGGCCACAAAACCATGGTTGTTGAAATTGTTGTATATGTGTCTGTATATCTGCATATCTGTTTGTCTATTTCTGTTTGTCTGTGTATCTATGTGTATTTCACTCAAAAATTACTGAACGGATTTTTAATGAAGTAAAAAAAAGTTGTGTTCATAACTTATTACTCGGGTCCTGATACCTCTCTCTCATTTTAATTGGAAAATGTAAAATGTTCGAGCGCACAATCGCTTATAGACTGAGCCCCCCAAAAATATGTCAAAATCAATAATAGCGTGTTTTGCTGTGTATGCTCCTATTTTCGATTTTATTTTGTCATTAATTTACAATTTTTGAAAGACATTTGAATAATAAAAAAACATGAAAGAGATCGTGTATCAATGTGTACACGCGCAAGAAGTGAAACCTCTGTAGGTTATCGGTGTTTTATGTAATTCAATTTATGATTAGAATAGGAGAGATACTAAAAATATATTTTTTATCGATTTAAAAAGGCAAACAATATTTTATTATTCACATAGTGCACAGAATTTATATTTCAATAAAATGTTTCTCTACGTACTTCAAGTTGTGAAACTTCGTTTAGAGCCTTACGACTGATTTTTATAGGGCTTACGTTACTGTCACTAATAGAAAGAGCGATAAAAGAAGAGGATTTATAAATATTTCATACAAAATAGCTGCACTATGACGGTGTTTTGTTAAAAAAAAACTATTTTCATAGGCTTTTACATGGCTATAACTAACTAAACCTTAAAATATACATACATCAAATAAAATCCATCAAACCATCAATAAACCAATCAATCAATCAATCAATCAATCAATGTAATAGAAAGCAAAAAGCAAAAAAGCCAATAGAAAAGTTCGCGATAGCATGTGTCTATCTCCTAAGATACACTACAATGACTATTTTTATTTATTTAAAAACGTAAGTACCTAGAGACGTACCCCATCGGAGCGAGGATCGCTAGTGAGAAATAAGTTTTATAAACGAAAACACAAGAGTCTAATCACTTGCAACTTTTCATATAAAGAGACTAACTTGCTACTAACTATTCCCAATCTCTCCCCCTAGATCTTAACCTCTAAACTATTTTCAAACCCCGATCAATAGAGAAGATTAGAAGTTCTAAGTCCAAATTATATGAAAGGAATTTTAGATGTGCTATATTGGTAGCATGGCTATCTTGCAGCGACAACATATTATATATTTAACAATTGTAATGAGCTATATTTTGCTCGTGGTTTTGCGTTGATTTTTGAAACTTGAAAGGTCTAAGCGTAATGTTAAATAGTTATACTACCTTCTTCAATAAACAAGCTATGAAACGTAAAAAGATTTTCCCAGAGATTAAAAGACTTCAGCTTTATTATGAGTATATTAGTTATGTTGCCTACACATCTATACCACTACACAAAAGGTCTATGACAGTTTTCTTTGGTACTTACCTACGTTTTTGCAATTTAGTTTCAATAGTCAATTTACAGATAGGTTAAGTTAAAGGTCTAATCGATTGGACTTGCCAATACAAGAAAATAGATGATTAAGTATTTTATATAACCTTTATTACATACAGGGTGGAACAAATCAATAGAAGAAAAGTACCTTAAATATTGAAGTTATCAAAATTTACTCAAAGGAAACATGTTTTTATTTTTAAACATAATGATAACCGCATTTCTTTAAAAAAAAAAAGCTTACCTGAACCGGGAATCGAACCGAATAAAAATGCAAAATAGGACACCGGCACTATTTTATCGAATTAAATCAATAGGATCCAACGGAAAGATAAAATCTCTCAAACAAACAGAATTGAAGAAAACAATAAAATCTTACAAATTATACATGGGTATTTCTTCGAGAATGCGTTCGCGTACTCTTATGATTAAAGACATGCCAAATATTATTTAGCATCTCTTTAATCATAAGAGTATGTTGAATAGAGCCAAAAATGAAAATAATTTTTGGCCAGATTAATCAGATGAAGAACGCAATCTCGGAGAAATACCCACATATCGACTCTTACATCGTAGAACAAATGCACAGGCAACGACCACTCAGCCCAATAGACACCTCACACAAGGCGAACACTTTCAGTCAACACGTTAGACAAATACGTCTGACTTGAGAAAACGATCGTGCGATATACTTCAGTTGCGACCACATCCGTGACCCGCGAACACATTGCTTGAGACTCGTGAATTTCCGACACAAAAAATACAACAGACTCGCAACATGGCTCCCTGTACAATAAAATGGTATGGAAATAGTAGCCAAACATGTAATTTAAAAAAAATGGCAGCACTTTTCATAGGTAAGTGAATTTTAATTACCAAATTCATTAAATGTAATTAAATCAGAGCTCTTCTTTGTTATATTGTTCGCAACGCAGCTCGCGTTGATGTATTCGGACATTCTCGGACTGTGCATCACTTTCTTTTCAATGCAGTTCATTGTTGCTATACTTTTCTTTAATTACCGGCACGTGTAACTAGTGCTGTACCAGTTAAACTATAAAATTTGTCGAAATAAGTTATTTAATTATTATAAAATGCATGATTGTTAATCTTAATTACTGTTATTTTTTTTTTTGTTTATAATGATGATTTTAATTTTACTTCATATTATTATGTATTATTATCAATTTCTTTTGTATTATGACATATATCTATAATAATAATTATTAGATTATTTTAATTTTTGTACTTTTAATTCATGAATATTTATATACACTAAATGTAAAGAATAAATAATTGTAATAAGTACCTAATGTATTTTTTTTATAAATAATAAGTTCATGTAACTAAGTAGTACTTTAGTTATACAGAGTGTAAGGGACAGTTTTCCAAAAACTTTGACCATGGATATAACTGTAAATAAACCTGTATAAATAATATTAAGTATTCTATTATTATTTCATTATAGTAAAGAAAACTTGTCTTAATTAAAAATATTCTTTAAAACAGAAAATTATTTTACTAAATACGATACCTACCTACGATACGATATATAACTTCTGGTTCCCATCACTATTTGTATTGAATTAACCAATCAGCGTGCATTTCAACCCGCCTCCCCCGTAACGCTTACCTCAGACTTTTGACTGAAAGGTTTGGATGCAGAAGTACGTAAATTAGGCGTCTATCGGGCTTAGTGGTCGTTGTGCACAGGACATATATTGATAAACGAATTTACGAATTTACCTAAAAATTACAAAATAAAAAACTCGACTATATAAAAGCCGAACTAAAAACATGGGAACAAGTTGACGAAGGAACATAGTAATATGTAATTAAAGACATACATATATTATAGATTGTCTTGACTTCTCTTTGTCTTGTCTCCCAACTATAATATCTTTATAATACGAGTATGTGTAAAAAATCTTATAAATAGCACTAAAGACTAGAAGACACAAATTATTTTTTATGCAATACGACCCGCGACACTTTTCGTACGTTGATCCTACTAAATAAGAAACCTTCACGGGATAACATAAAATAACACTTCATGAAAATGAATGAAGATTATAAAATGTAATACAATCACAAATTTTAGAAGACTTTTACACGTTAAGTATACGCAACAATATTGAATTAATTTATACTATCATATTTATATGATACCCTTACTAAATAACATAAATGCAAAAGTCAATCAGGTCATTTAATTAGTAAATAATAGCAGATAACAGTTTCTATAAGAAAAATGTTTCATACGCACAGTTCCGTGATACAAAGATGGACGGGTGGTCATTCACTGATACGGTTCTAAATTTGTTCATAGGAATTACTATATTATGTCTTGTTTTTGTATACTTTTATTTACAGCGAAAGTATAATTACTGGAAAGATCGTGGAATCCCTTACGTCAAACCGTTGCCTATTGTAGGAAACTTAGGATTTCTTATGAGAAAAAGTTTTTGGGATTACTGCAATGAGTTAAAAGATAAATTTCCAATAGACTACGTCGGAATTTACCTTGGATGGATCCCCGCAATAGTGATACAAACACCAGAGCTCGCCAGGAATGTACTTACTAGAGATTTCGAAAACTTTGAGGACAGGTATATTTACTGTGGACCATCAGATCCTCTCGGCGCGCTTAACTTATTTACTGTGAACGTAAGTGAAATAATTACTATTCTATAATCAGATATAATCAAATTCAAATATAATTTATTTACAAGTAGATTAGATTTTTCTCAAATTTATATTTAGCAAGCAGGTCCTTTGTAAAAAAACTTTTTATCATATTTTTTTACTTCTAAATGCACATGATATTTATGTTAATTTTATACACGAGATATGCAATAAGCCCATAATTTATTTATTCTTATAGTACCTCTCCTTTTTAAAAGTCGGTTGAACTTATGAAAAAAATGCAAAAGTTTAAGGACTTAAAACTAATTACACTAAACCGTCATTACTCAATAAATGATGTAACAAGTACTCCACAGTATTTTGATGCAATATACTTTAATACCGATATATTTACTATTTACATATTAAATAATTTATTCTTTTGAAGAACCCAATTTGGAAGCAAATGAGAAGCGAATTGACTCCTATGTTTACTGCGCTTCGATTGAAAAATATTACTGAACTTATGAACATCAATGCAGTAGAACTAGTAAAAAAGATCAAGAGAGATCACGTCGATAGCAACAAAGCTGTCCACTTAAAGGTAAGATACAAAGTTTAATAATGTTATGTGAGTTTTATTTAGGTAGTATTGTTTAACTTTCTGTACACATCGGTATACGTGTGCCTTTTATATAAAACACTCATTTGCTTTTATTTTTACAACTCAACCATCTGTCGTTATTTACATTTTCCTTTTTCTATCCAAGAGGCTTAGGCCAACTACAATCGCTAATAAAAAATGTATGGAAATGACATATCTAATCACTATTTTGGTCATAATATATCAATTTCATATAATTTTCATAATTTATTGGAGATTTTGATTGAAAAAATCTACTTGTGGTCAGTGGATTTTAAGTGATAATTGATCTTATAACGCTCTTAATATATTCCAGAACCTTTTCTCTATGTACACATCAGATACAGTTGCGTATACTGTATTTGGAATCCGTGTCAGTGCTTTGAGCGACAAGCCATCCCCTCTCTGGAGCATTACCAGCCATATGGTTCACTGGACGTTTCGACGTGGATTAGAATTTACTTTAGTATTTCTTTTACCTACCCTGGCAAGTTGGTTAAGGTAAGGTAGCATTTTTATCAGATTCTTATAAACAACTCATGAATGATATTTGAATTGTTTTTAATTTAATATGTATGTTTGTATGTATATAATAACTTTTACTATTCCAGATTTACTTTCTTCTCAGCATCTGCTAATGATTACATAAAAAAACTGTTTTACAACGTTGTTGAGGCTCGCAAAAATACTGATCAATCTAAAGAAAAAGACCTCGTCAATCACCTAGTTAAACTTAAAGATAATGTAAAACTACCAGCTGATGCTCCTCCAGGTAAGACAGACTATTTATTGTTGTTTTTAAATCTTTTTTATATATATTTTTGGGGGTGTTTATGATATAATTTTCTTGCTAAATATAGTTGATATGGTATATCAGGGCTAGATTCCGCAACTCGACGACTTTGCGCATATTTTGGGTGGAAATAAACTTAAGGAAATTTCTAATATTCAGACAGATATTATTTTAAAACTAGTACTAATTGAAATTAGTGCACTATAAATATTTTTCTCGTTAGTATTAGAGAAAAAAGTAGCCAATGAGTGGCTAAAATAAAATAAGTAGCTATTATTTAATTATTATTTGCAGTTAGACTATTCATATATTCATAAGTATATAAGTAACTGCCTCGGTGGTGTAGTGGCTAGCATGTACGGCTGCACACCCGGAGGTCCTGGGTTCGAGTCGGACCAAGTTTAGTTATTGAGTCTTTCTGTATAGTAAGTCTCAGTAACAACCCGGAGTTGGGAAGTTGGCGGTGTTTCACCCCCGTGCCTCGGAGAGCACGTAAAGCCGTCGGTCCTGCGCCTTAACTCTCACCGGTCGTGTCGAGTGGTCGTCCCACCGGAGTATGAGAGTGATAGGAATAGAGAGTGCACTTGTGTTTGCGCGTACACTTGTGCACTATAATATCTCCTGCGCAGTTGGCTAATCTCAATGATATTGGCCGCCGTGGCCGGAATCGGCTAGGAGAACGTCATATTCATAAGTATAATGTATAAGCCATTTAATTTAAAAATTTTAAAGTTTAAACAATCAAAATATGATAAGTCTTTCTTTTACTTAACAGAATTGGCTGACGACCTTATGTTGGCGCAAGTGGCTGTATTTATCTTTGGCGCTATAGAAACATCCTCTACAACCCTTAGCTACTGTCTTCATGAACTGGCTTATCATCCGGAAGAACAAGTTTGTGTTTATAATTGTTTGGATAAAATGTGATAAGTATATAGAAACCGGTTAAGATAAAATGCAACTCGAGGACGGTGGAGGTAACACTGCCAAGTTTCCATGCGGATCTAGAAAGAATTCGGAGAAAGAATTACGATTCATTTTATGCTTCAGACTTTCTCCACAAAGAATTAAGAAGTTATCATAAATATAACAAAAAAAATGAACATACCTAATTACCTACTTGAAAACCCTGTAATAAGAAAACATTTCTATTCTGAACTTTCGGAATGTAACTCAATTACATTGACATATTTCTTTTCAGGAGAAGCTTTATAATGAAATTAATGAAGCAGTTAAGCGCGCCGGACATGACGTTCTAGACTACAATGAGCTACTGGAATTAAAATATCTAACAGCATGTATTCATGGTGTGTTAAATTGTAATTAAGTTTTATTTTTATTTAAATTTTTGTGATTACCACACTGGTTCTCAGCAAATGCAAATAGTTGCAAATGACATACTTATAATACAAATTTTTATATTAAAAAAAAAGTGTGTGTACTTATATACGCACGTAAGAAGTTATAGTTCCTTGCTTTTTTAGAGAATTTACACAAAAGCTTGTTTTTTTATGTTTTAACTCTTCTAATGTTTTTTACTTTTCTTTTTGCATTTTATAGACATTGGATTTACAACGACGTCACTTTATTTATTGTGTTTCGCTCATCGAGTCCTTTCATTTGATACCCATACCATAAGGGTCGCCATTTTGTAACTTCCGTCATATTGGATTTAAAATATCGGCATTTAGGTAATCATTCATTGTCACGAGAACCAAACGTGTGTACCTTCTTCTTCATATAGTAAGAAAGGATGATTTAACGACTAACTTCATACTATAGTTAAAATCTGTCGCATCGTAAAAAACCACTCTCATTATTCATTTTTCGTTTTTTATAACGCGCCAAAAGAAGTATAACTTCTAAAATAGAATGAACGTACCTATATGGTATACTCGTATTATGTGGTAACCCATTGAAAGCATGTACGATTACAAACAAAGTGAAGAGGTTCAAATCAACAATCTTTAAGATGTTTATGTGCGGTTTACCACTTGCTCTTCTAAAAACTTGAAATCCACTAACCCGCATATGGCCAGCGTGGTGGACTATTGGGGGACGCGTGGCTAAATTTCAGACATTAAAATAGCTGCATTATTACATGATATAAATTAATTATTCTTACATTAAAAAACTTCAAAAATGTCACAATCTATAAGTAGTTAGTTGACTTATTTTTTTACAGAAACACTGAGAAAATATCCACCAGTCCCGTATCTAGAAAGATATTGTGCTAAAGACTATAAACTAAACGACGAAGTTACAATTGAAAGTGGGGTGCCAGTATTCATTAACTTGCTCGCACTACAGCATAACGAAAAATACTACCCAGAACCAACGAAATGGGACCCTGCGCGTTTTGAGGACGTCGCTGAGGGCAATAATGTTGACTACACTTTCTTGCCTTTTGGTGAAGGACCCAGATACTGTATAGGTATGTTGTTGTATCCACTATATTAAAATATTCAGATTCAAAATCATATTTTGGACACTCTTATTATACGTTTTTAAATTTGGAACACTTTTCTAGGAAGAAGATATGGTGTAATGCAATTAAGAGCATCATTAGCCCAAGTTCTTCATAAATTCAAATTAGAACCTGCAGAACCATACAACGTTGCAAGTGAACCTTACGCTATCATATTGGCACCGGCGGGTGGACTAAGTGTAAAATTTTTAGAAAGATAAGGAAAAAAATTGTTATAAGTAATTTCAGTATATTTCAATAACATTATTAAACAAATGACAGAAAATTTTAAAATAGTCTTGTTTGATTACGGTGATCAATTAAAAGCTTCTTTATTTTATTATAAAATACATATTATATACCTTTTAAATAGACTGATTTTAATTACTAAACATTTAAAAAACTATAAGTTACAATTTCGAATTAGTGAGAAAATTTTAAATGTAGGTATAATATATTTTTACAAGCTTTTATTTAACTTGCAATATTGGTGTGTTCGTATGAGTCAAATCTTGCAAGCTGAATCGGAACCACTTCATCCAATCCTACAGAGTTGAAATTTTACATGTTAGTGCAATTCTAATAATAATGAATTTTTATAATAATTATGATTCTTCATCTAAAATTTTATATTTAACTATTATAGTTCTAAAGTCAACCATGGTCCATGACCTGGTTGCTGCGTGGGGTTGGGTCCAAACAAGAGATCGCCCCTCCACGAGATACGAAATTTCATATACCTACGTATTCAATTATAACAGCCCATTCTATAGTCCACCATGGCCTCTCTGTTGCAACCAGGGTCTCCTCAGCAGTCAACATGCACAGACACATAATTTTGTATACTCGTTATATATTAATTCACTTTAAATAGCGCACCCATTCATTACTTTAAAACTTATAATAAAGCATAGATAGATAGATAGATAGATAGATGCTATATTGTACACCACAAATAAATATACAAAAAGAAGATATAAACAATAGATGATGCACAGCAGGCGGCCTTATCGCTATAAGCGATCTCTTCCAGGCAACCTTAGGGCGTAGGAGAAATTATATGAAATGGTAGGCGGTGTACTTACTACACACAATTGCATATCCTAAATACAGATATACATAAATACATATATACATACATACATAATACATACATACATACATATATACATACATACATAAATGCATAAATACAATGCATACATACATAAATGTAGATCAGATGAGAAAGTATAAAAAGTTCAATATAAGATACTATAGAGACAAATAATATGATTTTAACTGTACCTTAAAATTATCAAAACTTTTGGCACGCCTGATGTCTATTGGAAGATTATTCCATAAGCGTGCAGCCTTTACTGCGAAGGAGTTGGTAAGGAAACAGGAGGAGTGAGAAGGAATTTTAAGCAACAACGTTTCACTAGAGCGAAGTGGAAGAGTATGGGTATCACTTAAAAACTGGAAACGCTCTCTAAGGTAGAAAGGAGAACAAGGGTAGAACAGCACGCAGTAGAGAAGATGAAGTACATGAGTATTCCTGCGAAGGCGGATTGGGAGCCACTTGAGCTTTTTGCGAAATTCTGAAACATGGTCATATTTACGAAGGCCAAATATAAATCTGCTAAGAAAGATTTTTTCGAAATTAAATCAAAAAAGGACTTTACCACTTGATGTGAGCCAGAAGTTCCATGCTAATATATAAAGCCTAAAATGTTTATTTATGTTCGTTTGTAAGAACGTGTAAATTTCTAGAACTTTACGGGCTTTTTATTGAGGGGGTATACAGGCTATACAATATCTCATCCGACTTTGGAAATTGATCAATTATATATACATAAATAAACTACGCGGACGAAACTACGGGCAAACGCTGGTATATATATTATACAATAGAAAGTTCTAAAGTAATAAAAATCCAGTTACAGTGTCCTTAGTTTCAATCGAATAGTCTATGTATCAATAGCAAATGCCGAAACTTTACCGTACATAGTGAACAATGAATAAAAATGATAATTGAATTTCAATTGAGAGCGCTTTTGGATATTTTCAATACCGATCCGGTGTAGAATGAATTCTCATCCTTTTAAATAGCTCACGTTCCAAAAAGAGTATACGAGATTCACGTTTGCTTATCTTAAAAACTTTTAACTCTGTTATGACCGTCTTTGATATGTTAAGAATAAAGTTCTAACAAAGGCTTCTAAAGTTCTATGGCCGTGCAAATTTTAAGAGAGAGAATACAAGGAGATATGTAAATTAAGTTAAGTAAATTAAATTATCGTCTGATTGTACGTAGCAATGAAACCCGTTTAAATATTTTCTTTAAGAAAATTTTTGTAGTTAAAAAATACTTTTATATTAAATACTTTTAAAACATTTTTTGCATCGGCAAGCACCATATACTTGTTGTTAGACACAGTGGCTATAGATACAATGCCCCTCTTGGTATTTGCAACATACATAAAAATGTTGAAGCAGAAGAACAAAAGACTTATATTAAATATTCCTTTCAACAACTTACATTGTTTATTTTTAATTCTGAATTGATGAATTGAATAAGAAATAAGAGTAACTAGAAATTGAGAAAACAAAACAATTCTAAAACATCGACAAGCAAATTTATTTAACAAATCGTAGAACTCTCGTCTAATCTAATCCAACCCCTTCAATAAATATTGGCACACCCGATAAAAACAAACAATAAGCAGCTTCATTGCTTCCGATGCTTTTATAAGGAGTTTTTGCGGCCAAAAATTCGAATTTATATTAATAAAGATTGAGAATTCGGGTCGCCGGTCGAAATGCATCCATGTTCCGGTACGGCCTCAGTTTCGTTGCTCACTGAGTCCCAGTTTACCGAAAGCTGAGCCACGGGACGCTCGCTTCTCGTCACTATTCCCGCACAATTCGCGAGAAACATTCATTTATAGTAAAGTAAATACAAATTTATTTACTATAATGCCTATTTCTATCCAGTGCTCCTTAATTTAATAAATAAGTAATTAATGAATTAATCTACACATCGTTCATACCGGTGAGTATGAAATGGCATGTAAAATCATTCTCTTCGTGCTGAAAGAATGCACTAGGCTTAAAGTACCTGCTTATAACAAGCGCGTAAAGTAATTAATAGAGAGCATGATAGTTAAAGTTTAAATACTTTAAGTTTTATGCTTTCTAAGTAAAACTAATTATAAACTATTAGTTTAGATATACTTCATATAAACTGTCTTTTAATGAAAACATTTTACAAATGTATCAAATAATATTCACATAAATTTTCTCGTATGTATTTTAAAGTTTTCATTTATTTATTACTAGCGGCTCACCCTCCCTTCGCTCGATTTCGCCTCTAGAAAATGTATGCCACGGAAACCGTACATTTTCCGTGATAAAAAGTAGCATTTGTGTTATTCTGATGTATAAGCTATATTCTTGTAAAGTTTCATTAAAATCCATTCAGTATTTTTTGCGTAAAAAAGTGACAAACATCCATACATCCAGACACCCCCACAAACTTGCGCATTTATAATATTAGTAAGTTTTTTTTAAATATGCCAGATATTTTTAATCTTTCAAACTTACTAACATATTTTTTAATGCGTCATGTTTTATCTATTTCCTATTCCTCATACTATCATATTTCCTTCAAAGATATTTCTATCTAAAGGTACAACTATTCAGAGCATTCCTGAAATTACAGTACGAAAGTTTGTGTTACTGCTACGTTTTCATGGCCAAACATCTGAGCTAATATCAATAAAATTTGGCAAACAGATTCTAATCTTGATATAGGTATGTATATAATTAAAAGAGGGCTGTTAGATTTAGAGAAACGTAAAACAGAATTCGTATCTAAAAATTTTCAGACGGATTTAATATAAGTAGTAACAAATATTTCTTAACATTGGGTTTAGGGTTATAATAATTAAATTTACAGCTGACATTGGATAAGTTTCCGACGGATAAAGGAATAGCAGTATGGAAATAAATAAAATTTAAAGCAGCTTCTGATTTTTGATTTGAGACAAATTGTAAATCGAATTTCATAATTGTTATTTGAGTGGTTAGGGTAAACCCAAGATATGTACCATATTAATTCGAATAAGTTGCGTAAAATATTTTAAGTGGTTTATAAGTTAATGTGGTTAAAAATATATTGTGATGCAAAAACTACTTCAATATAGCATACATACACACATAAAAAAGATAACTTAAACTTAGACATATGTATGTACAATGTACATACATTGTACATTCTAGTGAATCTTTGATATATACACTAGTGTATATCGAATGTGGATATTAATCCCACAGGAATCACCTGATACAAAAATAAAAAACCACCATGCTGCTCTCTGACTCATAAACTAACTATATCAATGCAAAAAATCACGTCTCTTTTGTTCTGTTATCGCGTGAGAGAATAAACATATGTCTTTATGCTCCGAGAAAATTATCAGTTCCCGGAGGACTACAATGGAGATTTGTATGAAATTTCCTTGCAAAAAATACAATACGAGGCCTAGGGAAAATCCTAATCATATTCTCATTTTCTTAGGATAATAATACTGATAGTGATTTAATTAAAAAAAAGACTGTTACATAGCGTACAACTAACGTGATTCATTCCGGTAAATCGAATATTCTATTAAAATCAAAGGTCTTTATTTTTTTATATAATAAGAATCTTATTTTTTAAATAAAACTTGGTAGTAACGATATGTATCAATAATTCCAGAAAAAGTTTAAGTAACAGCGAAGTTTAGTTTAAAGAATAAAAAAATATTATATAAATAAAGCTTTTTAACTCTTTAACAATCTATACTTATTATAGCCTCTCGTAGTTTATTTTATGTAAAAATATAATATAAAAATAAAAGTAAAAATAAAAGAAGCGAAGGTCCCTAGTCATTCAATATCTATGTAGTAAATTTCATCCAAACTCGTCCAGCCGTTACAGCGCGAAGGAGTAACAAACACACACATATGACATACACTAACACATTATATACTGCACATACATGCACACATACTTTTATAACTGCTATTCCTTCATCCGTCGGAAACTTATCCAATGTCAGCTGTAAATTTTATTAAATATATATTATATTTTTTTTTTTTTAGTTTATGTAATATTTCATTATTATTTTATTAGCCAACTGCGACGAAGCCCAAAAGGAGGGTTATATGTTTGACCCGTATGTATGTTCATTCC